TTTGGAGGTAGTTTGACAGGAAGCTGCTAGAGAGCAAGAGATATATCTTGTTCTGATGTGTATCCCTCCCCCATCCTCATTCTCTAGCACTTAATGACTATTCCCCAAAGAAATGAATTTGGCATTGATCTGAACTTGGTTGTCTTTCCCCCCTCCTTTTATCATCCGTCTGATATAATACTGTCCTGTTCAGTATTCTGCCAAGACCTGAGCAAATAGTAAAGCTGTGTTTGAGGAATAAAAAGTGCCAAGTGCCAAGATTGAAAAGTACAAGACTGATGTTCCCCAAAAACGAGTTCATGGCAGTTAATGAGGTGTACAGCAGGCAAGAGTAAAACCTCACGGGAGAGCTCATGGGCACAGAGCCAGGCGCGGGGCACCAGCCCTGCCATCTGAGGAATCGTGTGGTTTGAGCAACTGAATATTTTCAAAGTGAGCACTGCCCTTCCTCTTCCTCTTCCTCTCAAAGCAGCCGAAGGCAGCACAACACAGTGAGCAAGGGTCTTGGAGAAAGAAGTCCCAACTCTGTCACTCTCCCTGGCCGGGTGATCTTAGGCAAGGCCCCTAACCAAGTCGTCCCCTTCTCCCAGGAAAACAGCGCTTTTCCTACAATTGAGGTTGGACTGGATGATGTTGGAGATCCTTTCATGCTCTGAAGCAGTCCTGAATATAGAAGTTGGTATTTTTCTACAAAAGGTAATTTACACTTTGAGGGGTGCCATGAAGCCCACTGAACCAAAAATATCACCTTACCCCCAAGCCTTCCATGGAGTGTGACATCCCCTCCTCAGACACTGTGTCTCCATGCACAGCTTACCAACCTGTCAGTAACTTATTGGCACGCAGCCACTTCAAGTCTCAGTTATGTCCATTTTACATGTAGAGTGAGACAGCAAGTTATAAAAGACTATACACATGTCACCTATATCTAGAAATAAATATAAATATATGTGCATATACACAGAAAAAGAGCTTAGCGATACCTACCATACTTTTAACATTGATTATTCCTATGGAATAGGAAAGTGGAGATGAGGGTAGGGACTTTACTATTTATTTTCAATTCTTCTATAATGTTTGCTTATTTTTAATAAATAAACTATTTTATTAATTAAAATAAAACTTTTTTTTAAAAAGTGAAACTAGACCACCAACTTACACCATGCATAAGAATAAATTCAAAAAGACACAGACACCAGGGGGGTGAAGACATGAGTGGGGGGCTGGGGGGGATGGGGGGAAAAGGACACATATGTAATACCTTAATCAATAAAGAAAAAAAGAAAGAATAAACTCAAAATGGATAAAAGACTTAAATGTATTTAAGAAAAAAATAAGCAAGTCTCCTTCCCTTTCTTGACCTCTTATTTTCCCAGTTCCTCTCTCTGGAGGTAGCCATAATTGCTAGTTTCTTATGTCTTCCTCCAGAGATATTCTGTGTGTATGTAAGTATATATCTATGTAACACTTGAAAAACCACCAAACACAGAAATGGGGTCATGCATAGACATTTGTTTCATATCTTGCTATTAAATTAACAATACATATTGACATAATTTAAAGGTACCTCATTCTTTTTAATGGCTGCTTAGTATTCCATACAGTATATAGAATGGATATACTACAATATATGCAGTCTGTGTACTACTGTAAACGGTTGGGTTGCTTACAGTTTTTATGACTACAAATTAGATTATAATGTTTATCCATATAAATGTGTCTTCAATATGTCTTAGTGCCCAGTGCAAGCATATTCACAGGATAAATTTCTGGTGGTAAAGTTGCTGGGTCAAAAGGTATAACTTTTTAACTTTGACCTTTGGTACCAAACTGAAGTACAAATAAACTTCCCCAATTTTCAAATACACAAAAAAATGTTTTACATTTCCTATCTCCCCATTATCCTCACCTCACCAGTATGCACTATCAGATTTTTATAATGTTGCCATTCTGATAGGTTAAAAGTGGTGTCTCATTGTTTGAATGCTCATTCTTACAACCATGAGTGAGGTTGAGAGTGTTTTCCTTTTCTTTTTTTTTTACAGAGAGGAAGGGAGAGGGAGAGAGAGAGTTAGAAACATCGATTAGCTGCCTCCTGCACACCCCCCACTGGGGATGTGCCCGCAACCAAGGTACATGCCCTCAACCGGAATCAAACCTGGGACCCTTCAGTCCGCAGGCTGATGCTCCATCCACTGAGCCAAACCGGTTAGGGCGAGAGTGTTTTTCTTATATTTAAAAGCCATTTGTTGGACACAACTAAACCATAGTAGTCAGGGATGCCACTTGGTTGGTAAGACCTCAAAATTAGAAGGAAGTGATTTCTACAGAAGTCAGTATAGTGGTTACTTTCAGGGGAAGGGAGGCAGTTATGATCACCACAGAGCACACGGAGGGCCTCTGACATGGCTGACCGAGTTCTGTTTCTCATTCTGGGTGACGATTAAAAGTGTGCTTACTATATAACATTTGTTTTGTTTGCTTGTCTGTATATTTTTTGTTGTATTTTTGTTTTATTTTATAATAAAAAGTGGCTTTAAAATTTAAAAATAAAAAAGCCATTTGTATGGATTTACCAATGTATTCTATTTATGTCCTTTGCCTATTGTTTCCTATTAGACTTTGATCTGTTTTTAATTCTTTTACAAGAACTCCATATTTTAAGGAAACCAGCCCTTTTTCTATGAGTTGGAAATATCTTTCCCATTTGTTTTTGGTGTCCTGGTTTTCTTTTCTTTTTGCTTTTTTGACTCACAGAAATCTTGCATTTTTATGGAGTCAAATTTGTCCATATTTTTGCTTATGGCTTCTGCATTTGCTCAGAATGGCTTTTGCCTGGGAAGCTTCTCATGGTCTCAACATTGCAGCAGCTAACTTAGAAAACAACACTCGAGATTTCTGGTTAAGGACCACAGATTAAACAAAGGCATTATGCTCCACTCCCTCCTAGGGCTTGACCAAAAGTTAATGTTTGATGAAGTAATACATTCACATGGTTCTAAAACGAGAAAAAAAAAAGAAAAAGGCACAGAACAAAAGTATCCCTCATCCGTGTCCCCCCTTGGCCCAGGTCCCACCTTCTGCCTGTCCATAGTAAGCGCTGCTACCAGTCTCTTGTGTCTGTGTTTCCAGAGCGTCTCCAGAGGCCTGGGAAAGCATCATTCTACGCCAGCAGACGAGAAAGCTCAAGCAACTCACTTTACATTTCAGAATCCACCGTGTGCTCCGCCACTGGTGGCCCAGCCAGGTACTTTGTGAGTATTTTGTGAGTAAAGTTGTGGTTAAAAACAGCAGGATGAACTGAAAGTCCGTTCAAGAGACATCGAGATCCTCAGACCCCCAGTTCCCCTTGCTGCTCTCAGGTGGACTGCTCCTGCCCCACAAAGCCCAAAGAAAGCAGGTTTTCCTTTTGGTGGGAGAGTAAGACAGAGGGAGGACCAGGCAGAGTTGTGTGAAAGGACAACATACAGAAAAAAAAAAGATTACCTAGAGACCCCGCCTTCTCTCCTTGTGTAGGTAGTGCAACCCTGGCATCCAACCAGGAGATTATAAAAGTTTTCTCTGGGAACCTGACACACTGGAGAGAAATGCCCTAAAGATCATCTGACAACAGCAGCATCTCGGAGAGAAAAAGAAAAAAAAAATGATTAATAGCCTCATAGAGATAAGAAGGAATTGTGCCCACATAAAATAAAAACAGAAGACTATTTTTTAAAAAGAAACTTTTAGGGAACAAAAAAAAGAGGCCTTAGAAATGTAGATATGATTGCAAAAAATAAAAAAATAAACTCAGTAGAAGATTTGGAAAGCAGACAGTAAAGTATAAAGATAAGAGATGGAACATAGATATAAGAGCACAAGTAGTTTATTTGGGAGATGATCCCAGGAAACACCTGTAAGGCAGTGGGAAGTGAAACAAGGAAGCCAATAAACCCAGCAAGTTACTGTGAACAACTGGGACTTGATTCCTTTGGGGAATTCTGGAGACCAGTGTAGAAATGGTGCCTCAAAGTTATCCCCAGTCAGGGCTGAGGAAACTGGGGTATTTATCTACTAACTCTTATCAGTCAGTGGTTAACGGCTGCTCCCAGGGAGAAGGGGGTTAATTCCCTAAGATTTTCTGAGCAAACTTTCAGTGGCCAGAAAAAGCCCTCAGGCAAAGAGACATTTATGCTGGTAATTTAGAATGCATAGATGTGGTAGGTGCCAAGAGATTGTGGACAGGGCATTGATGGCATCTGTTATATCTTCCTAGAAATCTACTCTTTCTTAGAAAATTACTGCAGGATGTGCTCCACCAAAACAATGGAGTGAAGCAAGAACAAGGAAGAGGGAGACTGCAAGAACCAGATTAGTCAACACAACAGGTGAAGGGAATCCCCAGGATGTGATGAAGGGAGATTCCAAGGTGACAGCTGTACTGTGTTGAATTAACACAGAGAGATTAAAAGGAAAAAAAATCAAATTTTAATATGTGTGCATGGAGAATTCACATATGCACGAAAATTCCAAAGACAGTGATTCAACATTGGGTATATAAGACAATTTGGACAAAGAAAAAAAAAAAGAGGAGGGGGGAGGTAGGGGGTATTAGATTTTAGAAGTGAGAGTGGGTAGTTTACAAGTAGTTGAGAAGCATACGTGGCAGGAAAATGCTCCTAAGCAGCCCAGGAACAATGGGACCACTGGGTGTCTAGCTAACAGGCTTGGAGTCTTCCTGACTAAGGCCAGGGTGAAATGTGTAATGTGATTAAGCCAAGGGTCTCTCCTAAAGCAGGGTGTCTGCCTGAAGCTCTTGGGTCTGAAACAAGCGGAGGGTCAAAGATTCTTTCTAGCTTTGTTTCTTTTCTTTTTTAAAAAAACATTTTTTAAAAATTGATTTCAGAGAGGAAGGGAGAGGGAGACAGAGATAGAATCATCAAGGATGAGAATCATCAATCAGCTGCCTCCTACACGCCCCCTAATGGGACTGAGCCCGCAACACGGGCATATGCCCTGACCAAGAATTGAACCCTGATTTCCCCAGTTCAGAGATCCATGCTCAACCACTGAGCAACACCGGATAGGTGAGTCTCGTTTCTTAATAAACAGCTTAAAATGAATGTCCCAAAGGCAGCTTTAGAATGGCAAAACGTTGGTTCCCTTCAACAGCAAGCCTAGAGATTAATCAGCCCAGATAGGAACAGATCAGAAGGAGAGAGTAGGTAGGGATTCAATTAGTGACACATGCAGAGGAAAATCTAGGCAAATGAAAAATGACACAATTATTAACTCCAGAGAAAGCAAAATGTTACTTGGGAAATTGATCATAATTTATTATACCACACAGATGTGAATAGTATTTATTTGGTCAAAATAATAAAAACACTGAGTATCAATCTAATGATAATACAGGTATGTAAGCCAGAAAATATATGTGTGTGTGTGTGTGTGTAGTATAGGAGGCGTGGAAGCTAAATCTCCATTTTCCACAGTGGAAAGCCAATAGATTTTAGGAAGTAGCAGTTTTAGAGAGATGGTGATACGTAAGAAAGGGGAGGGTCATTAATTAAAGCATTGGAAGTGGTTTTATCTAAGGAATGAGAAATGGGAGGAGGTGAAATGGGGGACTGCTATTAAATAATATAAAACTATTCTATTCTTGAAACTATGCATGTTTAACTGTTATGCAAATAACTAAATAAAAACAGTAATTCATCTTTTTTCTTCTGCTGTATGAAAAAAGGATGAGGTAGGTGGAACGAGCATCATTCGTCGCTGATAAGGAAGGTAAAGGGAAACTTTCTTGTTCCTTGAGTCCATCAACCAAGCAGAGATGTTGTCTTTTCATCTCCTTTTGAGGCAGGAAAAAAAATTATGTGCAACGGGCAATTGAGACTTTAAAAATCTCTAAGAGCTGTTGATGCCAAATTGGCCTGAAATCTGGGGCTGTCCTGAAAGTGTTTGGGCCCAAGGAAATGATCCAAGGTACATGCCAAGAAAGGCTTTTATCAAATTCTAAAATAAAGCCAATTACTTGAAGGGCATTATAGCTAGCACTAAAGTGTTCAGCAGAATAAATTATTTTAAAAAATATATTTTTAAATACACTTTTTAAAAATTTTCTTTTTATTAATTTCAGAGCAAGGAGAGAGCAGGGAGAGAGACAGAAACATCAATAATGAGAGAGAATCATTGATCGCTGCCTCCCACATGCTCCCCACCGGGGATCGAGCCTGAAACTTGGGCATGTTCCCTGACCAAGATTCGAACTGTGACCTCCTGGTTCATGGGTCCACGCTTAACCACAGAGCCATGCTAACTGAGCTGAAATAAATTCTTAATTGTGCCTGTATAAAAATTTCTTAAAATTTTACTTTAAATGCCAATTGCCTTAAAGTCCAGAATTTAAAAATATGACTCTTTTCATTTTTAAAAATAGATGGAAATGGTTTGTACACATCGCTTAATCTAAAATGTTTTTCAAGTATAGTTGACATATATTATATTAGTTTCAGGTGTATAACATTGTGATTAGGCATTTATAAAACTTACAACATGATTACCCCAATAGGTCTAATACCCACCTGGCATCATACATAGTTATTACAGTATTATTGACAATTATACTGTACATCCCATGACTATCTTTATAACCGGCAATTTGTACTTCTTAATCCCTTTCCGCTTTGCAGAGTTTTGATTAACCATATCTATCACTGAAATCGCATTGCTAAGGTCTGCGGTCCAATCGCGACACAGGAGTCTACTACCTTCTAATTGCAGGCAACATACCCACGGGAATGGGGCCTTCTGAAAGCTACCTCAGTTCCTCCTTCTCTTCCTGTCTTCAATCTCTAGCCACTGGATCCTTCTCCTCAGCCTAGAAAATGCTCAAAAATCCCCCCACCTAAAATACAAATAAATAAGAAACCCTCCTTTTAGCTATCAACCCAACTTTCTCTTTTCCTTTGTCACAATATATCTGAAAAGAACCTATGCTAACTTCCTTCTCTACCTTCACTTCCTCACCACATGCTACTTCCTCACCCTGTGCCATCTAGCTTCCACTCTGACCTGCTATCTCCCAGGTCAAAGGATTTCTTACTTGCTGAATCCCTTGGTCCTGCTTAGTTCTCATCCTCCTCAACCTAAGTCTTGACTTTTAAAAACCTCTCCTCCGGGTCTCTCTGAATCCCCCTCCACACACACACACACACACACACACACACACACACACACACTCCAGACACACTGATGTTCCTTTCACTTCCTAAGGAACCCAGCTATGACTGCCGTAGGCCCTGTTCCCGCTACCTGGGACTGCCTCCCCACCCTACCCCCTCCGTCAAGGCCGTTTCCAACTTGACTTTCAGGTCTTGGTTTACTATCACTTCCTCAGAGTGCCCCTCCCTCAGTGCCTCCCCTCTCCACCCCACACACTAAAATTTCCCACTTTCCATCTTAGAAATTAGGTTTTTATCTTTAAATTTTTTATACAGTTTATAATTATGGACTTCAGTTGTATGTTTATTTGCTTAAATACCTACCTTTCTTCCAGAGTGTAAGTTGCAGGAGGACTGGAACCTTGTCAGTTTTCTTGGTCATTGTGGATTCAGAGGTTCAGCACAGTCCCTGGAACAGTAGATCCAAATATTTGTTGAATGAGTGACTGACTGACTGAATGAAGTGCTTTCTTCATGCCAAACCTTTACATATATCACCTTGTTTTTATTTTCACAACAGCTCTATAAATAGGTACTGTTACCAGGGATAAATGGAAGCATAGAGAGACCGAGTAGTAATACCCAAGATCGCCCAAAAAAATGAGTGTGAGAGCTAGAATTTGAAAATGCACTTCTCCAACTCTATGTAGGACTTATTGATCATACTATAGTGCTTCATAGTTAACAATTCTATGTTCGCCTTCCAAAACTTCCCTCACTTACTCCCTCATGTCGGTTTCGATAGTTTCTCTTGCATCTTCCTTCCAGGATCTCTTCCAAGCTAAATGAGGGTACGTGGGTGGGGGGACCGGTCGTGGAAGAGACTGGGCGGTTCTCTAACACATGTTAGAGAACCTTGGAGGTAGACAACCATGACAGTAGTCAGCAGTCGGACACCGTCCTGGCTTGCTCTGTGCCTCTGCTCACTCACTTCCTGCCTCTCCCCCGACACAGGACCTTGGGTTGCTCCTCATGACGGGTCTACCCAGCCTTCTCTCCCTTCCCACAGATGGCCCCAGCATGTTCCAGAACCTCCTCCTGACAGAATGTGCCTGTCCTGGAAAAGGTTCACTCTAGAACGGTAAATGAAGAAAAAGAAATGTAAGCTGAAATACTGTATAAATAGTTGCTATGGGTTGAATTGTGACTCCCTTCCCCCTCCCAATTCATATGTTGAAGTCCTGACCCCTGGCACTCTTATTTGGAAGTAGGGTTATCATAAATGTAATTGTTCAAGTTAACATGAGGTCATACTGGAGCAGGGTGGGTCAATATGACTGTTGTTTTTATAAAAAGTACTCCATGTGGATCTGGCCAGTGTGCTCAGTGGTTAGAACATCATTCCACACACCAAAAGGTGGTGGGTTTGATTCCCAGTCAGAGCACATGATGAGTTTTGGGTTTGATCCCCAATTGGGGCACACACAGGAGGCAGCCACCAATCCATGTTTCTCTCTCACACTGATATTTCTCTCTCTCTCTCTCTCTCTCTCTCTCTCTCTCTCTCTCTCTCTCTCTCTCCTTCCCCCCCCCCCAAAGAAGGAGAAGGAGAAGGGGAAGGAGGAGGAGGAAGAGGAGGAGGAGGAGAAGGGGAAGGGGAAGGGGAAGGGAATGGGAAAGGGGGAGGGGGAGAGGGAAGGGGAGGGGGAGGGGGAAGGGGAGGGGGAGGGGGAAGGGGCGGGGGAGGGGGAAGGGGAGGGGGAGGGGGAGGAGGAGGAGAAGGAGGAGAGGAATGCTATGTGGAGATACAGAAATGCACAGGGGTGAAGATAAAGGCCCAGATTGGAATGATATAACAGAAGCCAAGGAAAAACAAAGATTTCCAGAAAACCACTAGAAGCTAGGGCAGAGGCCTGACATTCTCTCACAGCCCTCAGTGAAAACCAACCCTGCCAACACCCTGATCTTAGACGTCCAGCCTCTAGGACCTGAGACAATAAGTTTCTGTTGTTTAAGCCACTCAGTTTGTGGTGCATTATTGTGCCTGCCTAGTGAACTAATAGAAATAGTATAATCCCAAACCCATCTATGTCATGAATATCCTGCTCTCTCCCTCCCTCTCCCCTCACACACACACACAACTTAAAGGAAATAACAGTTTACAAATAAGTTAACAGTGGGTCTTTTGGGAGGGTGAATGATGGGTGATGTTGCTTTGTACTTTTTTTCTGCACTTCTGGGTATTTTCTGAATTCTCTCCCATCTCTAAAGTATTATGTATTATTACATAGACAAATCCCGGGCTCCAGCTTCCTCAGCTGTAATTTGAGAAGAGCCATAACAATCTTCAGCATTCTTATAAGGATTCAAGTGGCTGACACATAGTAGGTCAGCTAGTGTCCCTAGAGTCAGGAGAGCAGCTCCAAAGAAGTAAAACTGGGCATTCATCATTCAGGGCTCACTTGGTTCTTAAACGAAGGCTTCCCCAGGGCTGCTAAGCAGGGAAGTGGCTGCTGCTCAGCCCTGGCCTCTGCGTGGTGAGGCTGAAGGTGGAGAGTGAAATGGCAGGAGGGAGCTGGCTAGACACTTTGGGCTTGGGAGCGTCAGCAAAGATAAGCAAGAGGGGTTGGATTGAAAGGTTGGCTGGAGGAAGACTGGTGGAAGGAGGATGACTTAATCCATTTGGGGTAGTATGTCTTAGATTGGGGTGGCTGTCCGGACGGGCAACTGGAAGGGAAAGAGGCACCAAGATAAAGTAGAAAACACCATCAGGAAGCAAACAGTTCCCTCTAATATGAAGAATGCCCTCCCCCATCATGTCTTCTCCAAAAGCCCTCTGGAAACGGAGCGAGCAACATAACTTACTTCTAACTTTCCACAGCCCATGGGAAGATGTTCTTTCCCAAGGAGGGGTGTTTTCCAAACATCCCTCTTTTGGGCCATACCTGGGATAAGATGTTCTTTTCTGGAAACTGTTTAGGTAGATGCTACCCAAACATTCAGCCTTGCCTCTGACTTATCTCAACAAGGGAGGGTTCATTGTCTTGAATCTTGAATTTAGCCATTTGTGACTTCAAATTAATCTTTGCTTTTCAAAAATCAGGGTTGTTTTGCTTCTTTGTACTTAGCTATGTCTTCTATATTCCCATCCCAAATCCCAGCAATTTAGGGAAGATTTGGGTCCCCACAAATGCCTGTCACAATCCATTCTTTTATTGGAGGTCACTGATGGCTTTTGCCTGGTCCCTTTGCCAAAACCTACATTTCCCCTTTCCTTTATATCTGCAAGATTATGTAGCAACATGAGAAAACATTTACAATATAATGGTAATAGTGAAAAAAAGAGCATATAAAAATTGCATGTAAATTATGATGCTGACTATGTAAAAATAAATAAACAGAACATATACTCACATGCATATAAGGAAAATGAGACCAGAAGACAACAAACCACATAATTAAGAATGGCTATGTTAGAGTACCAAGATTGTGGGATTTTTTTCCTTATTCTCTATTTCCCTAAAATTTTTCATTATAATGAAAAAATACGTATATAATTACGAAACAGACTTACTACGATAAGGTAAGGGGCAGAATGAATAACAAAGTTTGATAAAATAAATACAACAAGAAAGCTAGTTGTAGATAAGGCTTTTCTGGCAGTGAATATACATGGTTCTCAGCTCAGTGTGTGAGAGAGAATTCTGACCACAGTATTCTTATGGAAGACATTTAACCACTTGCCATCCTGTGCACTCTGAGAGTCAAAGAGGAAGCAATGGCACAAGATTTCAAACCTGTCAAGCATTTGAGAGGAGCTAGGGAGGGGAGAGGGGGCTGGAGTCCAGGCCCATGAGAGGTTTGGGGGCTGTGGAGAGACTGCGTAGATGTCTCTACATCTGGGGGTTTCCGGGAAGTGTGTCAAGCATGACAAGGCGAGGCTCTGATACTGTTTATTTTTAGAAGTCCCTTTGAGAGGAGGATCTTTCACCTCTCTCTAAGTTAGCTGTGCTCCTTGGAACCATGGACATCTTTCTGCTGTAGCAGCAGTAGGATCAAAGCACGTGTTTAGAAAGAGAAGTGAAAAACACCAGATGTGAGCAAAACCACAAGGGGAATTTCAGGCAGGCAGCGTGCACCAGATTACCCAATTTGGAATGCGTTCCAAGCCCCAGGACAGGCCGACCCTCCAAGGATCAGGCTGGAGGGACGGAGGTTATTGATCCTGATTTAAGCCAAATGCCGCTAACTTGACCTGTGACCTTGCTCAAGCCATTGACCTCCTCCAAGCCACTTTCACTGCCTGTAAAGTTTCCTTGGAGAAATATAATGGAAACCATGCTAAATACTAGAGATAAGAGTGAGGCATGATCTTGAAGACTGTTTGGTAAATTGTGTTTGAGTACATAAATACCACAACATATACACACTTCCCATGTGTACATACAAATATTTTGTGGGAACGATATGTGTAAAGAAAACCCAGGGCTTACAGACTGTGTCGTACAAATCACAAAGCAAATCAACCCACAATGTAAACAATCTACATGTTGGCAACTGAAGGGGCTGTGACAGGATATGTTTTTCTGTCACTTACAGCTCTTTAGGTCTCCCAGGGTCACCCCAGAGCTAGACTAAAGCATATGACCAAGTGCATAGTTAGTACTGAATGAATGTTAGTTGAGAACAGAACTTCAGCTTGGAATTCCAGCTTTCTTTACCACTCAGTTGTATGTGGCCCTGGGCAAATTACTCCATACTTCTTTGCCTTGGTGTCCTATTCTGTAAAGTAGGGATAATACTAATAACTACCTCATAGACTTGTTGTGAAGATTATATAGAGTAATACAGGGTGTTCCCAAAAATGTATACATGCTTAACAGCTCAATTGATGTTTCTTTCTTTTTAGATTTAACCCATTGGAATTAATAATTATTTAAAGCATATATACATTTTTTTGGGACACCCTATATATGTAAAGAACTAAGAAAAATGCTGGGTGGATAATGTTAGTTATTGTTATGTTCCCAAATCTTCAACGAGGACTTTAAAGCTCTGCATTTCTTTCGTCTGTGTTCTCATCCAAATGTTTCCCACATTCTTGCTCCATTCCAGAATATTTCCTGTCTGTCTTATTCATCTATGTAGAATACTGCTCCTTCCAGACTTGAAAAGAGACCAACTCACCTCCCCCCCTCCACACACACACCAAAACCATTAATTTATTCCTATTCACGCCAACTTTGAGTCAACATCTAGGTTGACCCACAACCACACATCTTGGAAGCATCACTAAATCCTCTCTTCTCCATCTGCTGTAATTCTTACATAATGAGATGCCCTCTTAGCCAGAGGAGGTGTCCCACTAAAGATGAAAAAGTATGTTTTTCTCCTCGTTAGTAGAAGTCATCAGTGATGGCAACCACGGTGTAGAAAGGAGAATAACCTTGGAATCACTGAGCATGGCCG